CAGATAACTCAAAGAAAAGTCAGTTATATACCCAAAAGTGTAGTACATGTGTATTCCATGCCCCACACTCCCGCCTTACTAATGCAGTGTCTTAGAATACCTGGAATTTCTTGTGGTGAAGGAACTGAGGGATGGGGTTTTGCCTGATTTCCATATTTTATGCCCTGGGAAATAAGAGACAAGGGTACCTTGTGTATAGGCACTGCCCCAGTAGATACAGCTGGACAATAGAAACTAGCTGAGTACAGTATAAGAACACCAACAGTGGAATATAAGTGGGCAGCATATCTCAAAGAACAAAAACTACTGTAGGGTACTTTACAATTCTTTGCTGCCATGGTATTGATACAAAAAGTCCCTGAGGAAAAAAAGATGTGGTAGTGAAGATTATTTAGGCCAAGTGGATTGTGTTTAAACATCTCTGGTATGTAGTAGTCTACAGCTGTGAAACTTTCTTCTCTTTTTTCCAGCTGTTTGCTCTCCAAAAGCCAAAGCCAGAGACCACCATCATGATACAGTTCTTGGATTCATTATCCAGGAAAATATTTCCTGGCTGGAAATTCTGCATCAAGTCAGCACATAGGAAACTTAGAGTTGATTGTGAAGCTGCTCCTACAACAAACACTGTCTGTCTGTTCATTAGCTTGCAAGAAAGGGCAGAGTTCTAGTGTAGGTTAATTCATTAGTCCTCCACACCTTTGGCAGCATTTCACAAGGAACAAAAAATAGATGCATGATCCAAGACAGGATGTAAGGCTTTCCAACACAAAGGAAAGCTGATTTTTATATACTATCTGAAAATGTAATAAGATTTAATGTTAGTATTTGATGTCAGAGTTATTCTAGCTAAGAATTGTTTTCAAATATGTTAAGCTTAGTTCCTCAATATTTACTCTTAAAATGACTATTATATTGCTCACTCTAGTTAACTATATTACAGTTGTCTCTGGCAGAGAGGTAGAACTCCTTTCATTTTAAAGATCATACATCCTTTCAGATGCACCTGTTTCTGATGCATTGGAACAATGAACTTTATCCACCATGGCTATGGATTTCAACAAATGCCATTGGTGAAAATAACAGTTATTTATATTCTGTTTGCTTATTTCCAGCTTGAATTACAAAAGTAGTCTGTCATTTGGCAGCCAGGAATCTTTGGGTAGAAAATACAATTTGGAAATGACATGCATTGTAGAGACATTGTCTTCTTATTTTAAATCATGCCCACTATTTCCCAAGCTCTCAAATTGTATTTTTATTGTTTTTATTTCGCCATTATACAACCTGTCTCTCATCATGTGCCCATCCAAGGCCTGCCCACCCTATGGGTGATCACTCAGACTGATCAAGCTTGTCCTGAAGCTTTCAGCAGGGTGTAATCTCCTGCCCACTCCATCCCTAGTAGTTGGTTAGGGTCCGCTGACCCTCCTCTTTCTCCATATAAACCCCTAAGTCAGAACAGGCAGTGTCCAGGCAAGAGAGCTCTACCTGATGCATTACCACTTTGCTAATCTCTCTGGCTTGATACTTGACTCCACTCTCTTACTGATCTCTCGGGTCCCTGACTTGGTCTATCCCAAGATTCTCCTTGCCCGTATCTTACAGACTGTGCTCTGCCCTTAATATAATCAATGTCAAGCAACATGAGTTTATGGAAAATAAATCGGGTCAAACTGATTTTTTTGCTGAAATTGTTTGTTTGATAGAGATGAAGTTACTTTTAAGAAATGTCTATAAGCCTTTTGACTTGGTGCTACACATTTTGATTAAGAAGCAAAAGTGATAGAAAATCAACATGACACACGTTTTAAATTTATTTTAAAAACCTGGTGAACTGCTAGGTGGGAATATGATTGTAAATGAAGAATCACCATCAAGTGGGTCTGTTTTCAATAGGGCACTACAGGGATCAGTCCTTAGTACTACGTTATTCATTGTTTTTATCAGTGTCCCAGAAACTAAACATCTTGTTGATAAGGTTTGCGGATTAGAACTAGATTGTGGCAGTAATAAATAATGTTGAGGACACATTTTGATCAGAAAAGCTGTATGGGGGGGAGGGGGAGGGAAAATGTAAAATCACACATTTAGGAACAAGGAATACAGGCCATGATTACTAGACTGAGGGGGGGGTGGGGATTGTATCTTGAGACCTGGTGCATGTTCATTTAATGGCGCAATGGGATTTGAGCTCTGATCCCAACAATTGTTCCTCCTGCCATGTCATGCATGCATGGCAGGAGGCATGATTGTGGATCAGGTCCCAATCGTGCAATTACTACTAGCCAGTCATAATCCCAGGCCTCCCCTGCACCAGCAAGTTGAAAGCTGGTTGTCACAGCCTCTCATTCAGAGCTGACAATCAGTGGCTTGTCAGAATGCCACACCTGGTAACTCTGGGTTTTAATGTCCCTAGCAGATTTGATGCCCCCTTTTGGCTCCCCCCACTGGCAACCTCTGATCCCCTGCAACTGGCAGCCTGGCAAGAGCTTCTGGGTACAGAGTTTAAAGTCCCCAGTGGTGGAGTGCTTTCTTTGATTGTGAGCCAGTCAGCTGATTATCGGCCCTGGCCACTTGTTAAATTTAAAGATACCATACAAACCAGCCAATAAAATGGTCTACATTGTGTGTGGAACATTTTTATGGCTTATTTGCTATTTTGAGGCTCCTTAAATTGGGTGCATGTGTAGCACCCCTCACGTTTATGCCACAATTAACACATTCATTGCAGCATAAATGTAATGTGTAGAGGGGACCCTGGAAGTTATGGGTATTAGTATTGATTATTGTAGCAGATGTTGGACCAGTGAGAGAAGCCTGCACATGACTTTTTGTCAGGAGGCTGTTGCACAAAGGCAACCACATGGCAAAGAAGAAACCCGTGCCCAGCAGCAAGGAGATCCAAGACAAGCGGGCTTATTCTTCCACTGCAGCCTTCATTCACCTTCGTATGTCTTCTGTATCTGCCTGCTCCACTGTTGAGGTGTTTGTGTTGTGTTGCATTGCTCTTCATCTGGTACCTCACCTTTGACCTTACCGCCATGGGTGACCCTACCAGGAGTACAATCCTCTTGGCACTATTGCTGTTATGGTCATCGGTACACACAAGCCTCTCCATGCCATCAAGGAAGCAGTTCATAGAGAGGAGATGGAAACAGTGATTCAGAGAAGACTTGGGGGTCATGTTGCATTTAACAGCTGAACATGAGTTCCAGGTTTAATGCTGTGACCAGAATAGTTAATGTGCTCCTTAAATCTTGAAAGAGTAGAACAGGGAGGTTTTATTAACCTCTGTATCTTGAACTGCTGCAAACAACGCTGGATGCTGTGTCCAGTTTTAGAATCCACCAGGCAAGAAGGATGGGAAAATGGGATAGAGTTCAAATATCAGGCATCAGAATGATTAAAGAATTGAAAAATGTCCCTTACAGTGAGTGTCAAGGAGCATTCAGTCTATTTCATTTAGCAGAGAGAAAGTTAAAAGTGGATCACAGTCCTACCTGCAGGACAGAAGTTTTATAGTGGAATATTAAATTCAGAAAAGATATGGGTGGAGGTCTTGAGGCTAAAAAGATTAAGAACCACTGATCTGGTTTAATTAATGCTAGGTAGGGATGGCAGAGGCAGGACCTAACCCTGCCCTGCTGTGCTCTTTACATTTTCTCACTCCTCCCCAACCCCCATCTGTATCTTGGGGAAGCAGGTCCCACCACCAAGGCTATCTTCAAAGGCTTCATGTGCTGGCAGCCACCCTCATGGCCCCCATCTCCAATCCCAGGAGTGTGGGAGGTGCAGAGGGAGAAACTAGGCTGAAAAGCTTAGCTCCAGCCTCTTGTCTGCTTGGTCACCCACAACACAGCACACTGCTGGAAGTGAGGGGTGGGAGGAAATGGGGGAAGCTAGCATAGAAGGCAGCTGGAGGATGCAGGGAGGGCAGCAGTAGTAGAAATCCCCAGAGGAGCAGCTGCAGGCTGGGGCAGGCACAGGGCACCAGTTGGAGGAGAGCATTTACCTCCTTCCACAAGGGCTGGGCAGTGTGGAACTCTTAACGGGATTGTGCGGCACCACAGGGTGCTGTGTAACCCCAGTTGAGAATCACTGGTTTGATGTTTCAAGTAGTTCTGTTTCGTCCTGAATAAGTCTAAAGATTTTGTGAAATACATACATTTTCCTGCTGTGCTGCTTTCCATTTTTCTAGATAGTTGTTAGTGTTAAACAACTTTGAACCAAATAAAGCATCTCTTATAGCATCTCTTTGGTAACTTTTTTTACTGTCTTGAATATTGACTAATTTCCCTGCTTCTTTGTTGGATATTTAATGCAGTACTTCCTCAGTCAGCCAGGACTACCTTCTTGCTTAGTAACTTTTTGTGAGGAACTTTGACAAAGACTTTTTGAAACTCCTTTTTGTCAGGATAAGGTAGGCAACTAGGGATACTAAAATAAAAGTCACCTAATAGTTAACTAAACCGTGAAGGTCCTGTGCTGGTAGTAAAATAAAGCTAGGCGAGTTTATTCTGCAATATTAAACACTGCTCTGTACCTTCAGCAAACTATTTGACTATATACTATAAAAAATGAATGCAACTATTGTCTGGGCCACATTTTATCTCACCGTGTATTTCAGAAGTGTATGTACATTCATTTTACAGTAGTAAATTCACCAGTGCTGATATTCAACTAGATTGAGGTCAGGATGTTTTTGTAGTCTTAATAATGTAAATGTTTTTCTTCTTTTTCCAAGTCCTTTAAAGCATCGTGTGTTAAAGTATCCTTGCAAAATTATATTAACTATCTTAGTAGCTTGGTTAGTAGCTTGTTTTGACAGTTGAATAAATTATGGCTAGGTTTCCCATTGTTTTTGCCATCATGAAAGCAAAAATCAATGATGAGTTTTCATGACAATTATGAAGCACTATTTTAAAGTCAATTGTAAGGACTTGATGATCAGCTTTTATTATTTTATTTATTAATTAATTTTATTTATTTTTGTATTGCAGCTGATTCAACTGGTACTCATTCTCTTTATACAACATACAAGGATTATGAAATCATGTTCCATGTTTCTACCATGCTGCCCTACACTCCTAACAACAAGCAACAGGTAGAATGGATCTTGATCATTTAGATTTTTCTTCTTCCTCAAGCCTTATGAAATAATTGTACTTTTGAATCAGTATTAAAAGTCCATCCTGTAAGGATGGTAGAAAACACTTAACTCTGTTGATGGATAAAATAGAGTGAGCTAAAAGAAAGTGACTAAACAGGAAAAAGCCTAGGTAAATCAGTCAGTATATTGGCCTTACATTCAGCAGGTTCAAGTTATTTGTAAAATTGGAAGAGAAGTTGGAAAAAAAGTAGGCAAATCATTTTGAGGTATGGTGAGCAACATGAATTATGCTTAGGTTAAATTTAATGAGGATAAAATGGATAACTGCATAAACCAAGAGATTCTAATGTTTCACTAGAAAGCTGGGGTAGAAAACTTAAATTTGAAGGGTGGACTTAATAAAGTAGAACAGCATGTAGAAGAATCTGCCATGAACAATGGTTGCCATTACAAAGCCCACAATTGTCAATAGTTATCCTGTCTAAAACCTAGGGAAAAAACCCAAAATTTAATGAGCAGCGGAATGCACTGCCACTTTTCTGCCATTGATTCAATTATGCAATCCCAAAACAACTGTTCAGACACACTTTGATATTCCAGGATAAACTATTATTACTACTTACCTTTGAACCTTTTTAGGATTTATCCCAAGACAACAGACATGGATGTCTGAATGATTGCCCTTTGTCCCAGGACAAGTGCAGCATCTCTGTTGCACTTGTTAGCGGAGGCTGTGTTCAGTAATTCCGATGAGGAGAGTTTCTGAGCTGCACATTCAAACAGCCATGCTTTATAACAGAGGCATTGAAAGAGCACAGAGTTGTTTCCTTAAAACCTAATCCATTCTGAAATCCCCAAACTCTTAATTTCAAGAGCCAGCCTTTAGCCATTCAAATATTACACCTGTGGATATCATTTTGTATCAAGATATAGTTTGTATTTCAGAGGAGCTTTCTACAAGAGCTAAACCAAAACTTCCACACCTTGTCTCTGGAATTCTCTATGGTTGACATCTTAGAGTTGATGCATAGAGTATTATGCATGCATTCATGTCAGATTACTCCTGTAGATTTACCTTGAAAGTCCAAGGCTTAATGGGACAAAGAGATACTTGTCTTTCATTAGATAGTATCCATAGACTAACTACCTGCCTGAGGGCAATCTTAGCTCCCCAGTAGAGGGATGTGTGTAGATCGTACTTGAATAAGAAAAACACCTATCGAGCATTTGCTGGAATTCTTTCAGGAGACTATACACCGGGGTGGGTAAAATGCGGCCCACCGCCAGGCCATTCTATCCGGCCCACAGGGCCCCTCAAAAATTTAGAAAATTAATATTTATCTGCCCCTGGCTGCCTGTCATGCGGCCCTCAATGGCTTGCTAAAACTTGGTAAGCGGCCCTCCACCCGAAATAATTGCCCACCTCTGATCTACACAGACCCACAGGAATGTTTTCTTCAAGAGTCAGTGGTTCAGCACTGCATCTAGTGGTAGAAATAAGGAGGAGGGCTTCAATTTCTAAAATGCCCTCAGACTAAGATACTCAGTGTTGCAAAGGATAATGTGAATGCCTCCAATGAACAGTTCTGACTCCTAGTCAGTCCTGGGAAAGGTATGGAGATCACAGGTGTATCCAAGAGTGTGAAACAATAGAGACAGTGATCTCAGAGTTCAGCAACAGGGAACTTGTTTTATTTTTATTCCTTTTAACCACCTAATTAATACTGATTGTAATATTGTCAGATTTTGTAAGCTTGTGATGCATCATCAGATTCCATAAGCTAAGTAGAGAGGGATGAGATGGAGCCGCACGGGCACTAAGGCATACAGTGGATAGCCGAGTGGTTGCATATTTGAGGCCGTAGCAGAAGTGCTCACAGCACAGCCTATCAGATTCAACAAATCTGTGAGTTCTAGAGAGGGCTAATTCAATATTTGAGACAGAAACCTCAAAAGGGAAAAAATCTAGGTGGCTTCAGAAAGTTGCTTACATCTTGCAGCAATTTGCACCTTTTTTTTTTATCAAAGACAGTATTAAATCTGGGGTTATTGCTGTAGTTATGGGATGGGAAAGAAGAAAAAACCGTACAGTGAGGTGCTGTCCTTTAGCTGAGACATAAAATCAAGGTCTTGTAGTCAATAAAAAAACGAAGGCACTTTTTAAAAGTATAGATATGTTAATCCAAGTGTCCTGGCCAATTTCCAAGTCTGATAATTACATTCTACCCATTACACCTCCTCCACAGTTCGTTTTCAATTGAATAAATCTATTAATCTCTTTCCTCGTAAAATACTGTGCAATTTTGCTATGCACTGTTAAGCAACTGCTTCATTTAAATCCTGAAATGGCTGAATTTCTGTGATGGAGCAAGTTTATTATACCCATTTTACAAGCAAAACATACATCTGTTACATCAGTACAAAATAATAACAGTTAACAAGATTTTTGTTTATTTTTCTCTGTTTATCAGCATTTCTGTGCCTATCAAAATATACTCAATCTGGGAATAATATATAATGCCTTGTTGCATAATTATAGAAAGATTTTGTGTTCTTTTGTGTGCTGCAACAAGCTTTGCTTTTTTCAGGAAAAATGGTATTTTTGGACTACACTGTTGTATTTCAAAAACGCCAGATATTCTGTTTGGCAAATTGACATAGTTTAAAAGATACTGGGTGCATCTACACATGCTTTACTATGGAGCTGACTAGTGTCACTGTCTACACATGCACCTGTATTAGGGTGCAGTAAATTAATTAACTCCACTGTAGGATAGTACTGTCCAGAAAAAGTACTATCCTACAGTGAAGTATTTACATGCACCAAAACATATGTGTAGATGGTGTCCAGGGCTGGTTAAGGCATAAGTGTGCTACAGTGTGGGGGCTGCCTGCTGGCTAACCTTGCACTGTAGCACCCTCATGCCCCAGCCAATTCCTGCACAGCATGTTGAGTTGGGGCAGAGCAGCACCAGGCTGGCAGGCTGACTACCCAGTCCCCTGCCAGCCTGGGGCTGCTCTACCGTGGCTTAATGTGCTGCAGTTTCAGGCACACGTGTAAAGATTGCACCCAGGAGAAATAAACTCTGGTGCGGACTGTACTGGAGTTTATTGCCTTTTGCTAGTTGCACATGTAGATGCACCCACTGTCAACCAATTTAAGTCTGAAATGCCAACATACCTCAAATTTATTATATAATTATCTACTGAAGAAAGGTGTCCACCCTCTACATATTATTAGCTCAGAACTCTGAGAGAATGTTGTAGTGTCTACTTAAAAAGCCCACAGAACAAGTAGACAAATTAAACCATAACATACAATATGTTATAATTTGATTGTAAAAGCACTTAAAACCTTTAAAAAAAAAAGCAAGGTCTGACTTTGTACTAAAGTAGCGTTAAACTGTTGTTATGGAAACAGAGGATGCAGGATGCTATCTGTTTGGCTAAGTATATAAGGCTTTGGCAGTTTTGTCATTTAAGTCTTCAAATATTCTGTATGTATTAATCTCTGGATTATTTTTTGGAATAAAATGTTGCCAATACTTGACATAGATAAAAATATTCTATAATTAGTAATGGCATTAAAACATAAGATTGGAGGAAAAAGATATTATTAAAAGATTGGGATGCTTTAACCTAAACCCTGTGATGTACATTATCTTCTTTTTAACTTTTTATTCTTTATTTTCTTAGCTCTTAAGAAAACGGCATATTGGAAATGATATTGTGACGATAGTTTTCCAGGAACCTGGAGCACAGCCATTCAGCCCAAAGAACATTCGTTCTCACTTCCAGCATGTCTTTGTCATTGTAAGAGTGCATAACCCCTGCACTGACAATGTCTGTTACAGGTAGCTATTACCAGATTAACACCAGAAAGAAAATGATTGCATACTGAGGCTTAACCCTTTTTGCATTTCTACACAGAATTCGTGCCTTGGCTACTTTTCTGGATGTTAAAACTTACAGAGTTGTGTATGTTTTGTATGTTTTTGTTGAAACACAGTGTGCAAAAGCCATGGTGGTGTTTCTTGCAACTGTGCTGTTATTCCTTTGAACAATTTGTAAAGCCTCCAGATTCATTGAATTTAGTACTGTGCCAATTAACAGCTGGCAGTACCTTTACATTCATTAAATCTTTGCAGTGAAAGATAGATTTCTAACAATAAATAACCCACATTTATATTGACCAAAGCTATGGACAGGGAATGGAGAGCAATTCTCTTCACCAGTGTCAACCCTATAGAGCAAGGGGCTGTCTGTAACAGCTGCCATTCTACAGCAGCAGCAAGCTGCCCATTGACAGCCTATCCCCTTCACTGACAGAGGAGAGTGCAGACTGTCAGTCATTGAGTTCAAGAAGCAGCCCTCTCATGCCCCCTGGCTGGAGAGCTATGCAGGTGAGCTCTTCAGCCAGGGGCCTGGAATGCCTGTACTTGGTAAACCCTGGCCTATTTTTCTAGCAAAAAGAATCGCATAGAATTTCATGTCATAGCACTCAAAATAAGTACCTTTCCATAACCAAAGAGGACTTGAAGTATCATTTGGTATAAGTATTTTAAATAGCTGCACTCTAAAAGAAAAGTTTTTAAATTTTGTAGATAAGTCATGGATTTGCTGCTTTCGAGGGTGGGGGGAACAACTTGGGAACCTGAGTTTATGCTGACACTGGCATAATGAAAGTACTGATGGAGTGTGAGCTGCTCTACAGAAAGAGAAGGAATGGGAAACCATATCTTCTGTCTGAAAGCATGTTTTTCACACTTGACATTTGCACAGAAATATATCTTCCAGAGCACTAAGCAGCAAAACATCTGAAACTGAGACCTTAAAGTTAATGGAATAATAATGTAAAAAACTAATTGAAAGTAGACTTTAATGTGGAATTGAAAGTCTAAAATTGGGAACCTTGTTTTCTCTAACTTTTATTATTAGATGCAAGTTTAAGGAATTGACACACATTTTAGTGTTGCTTAACTGTGTTGTAAAGGAGGTAAAAAGTTTTGACTTTCAGGTTAATCACAGAAAGAGTTCAGACCATCGATATTTTAAAATATTGACTAAAGTGTGAACAAAACCTAAAATAGAAAACCTTTTAAGATCTGTAACAAAGAATGTAGTGAATTTATAATGACTATCTTTAATCAAAAAGGTAACATTTAAATTAACTAGTCTCTGTTGAAATCCAAAATGTTCCCCTATGTGTTTAATTCAGCAAAACATAAACCTATTTCTTTGGGGAGAAATTAAGCTTAAGCAGAACTATTGCCTTCAACTTTACTGAAATAGTGTGTTGTATTTCTTCCAAGAGGTAAAGGAAGGACTTACCCAAACCTCTTTGTAAGTTTAGTTTTGTATACACACACCTCTCTCTATGATATGCCATATTTACACTGGTATTTTTTTACAAGGTAGATTGACTGTACGTAGTCTATTAAAATATTCCTTTTCTCTTTACAGTATACCTTTTTAACACTTGCATTCATAATTGTCAAGACTAGTATTTCCTAGGTGAGCAGCCATCAGGTGAACTTAAAAAGGACAAGAGAAACGAGATTTTTCACCTACAGTAAGACCACTATTACTCAGATTGTCTAGATATTTCCTATTAAGTCCCTTCAGCTCCTGTTTAGTGGAAAGATTGTCCAGGAAGGACCAAAAACATATTTAATGTCGCTGCCTGGCAGATATTACACTTAAGATGTGATTAATCAGTTAACCACGTCCTAAGTAGTAATAGTAATTATAACACAAAATATGTGTAATAATTTTGTGTCTGTTTTCCATTGCACCTTAAATTGAATGTGTGACAGGCTCCCCACCATGCAGACCCATAATCAGCTGATTGGAAGTCCCAGCCCTGGGATTCCACCTGTGTGTCAGGCTCACTGCAGTCTAGTCCCAGCCCCAGGACTGCACCTGTTTACTGGCCACCCAGCTTTCTATTTGCTGGTGCGAGGAGTAAGTGCTAGTGCAAGCATTGGCACATAGTAAATAGCATGATTGGGATCTCATCCCCAGTCCCAAAATTGCACATCCTGTCATGCACGTGCGAACAGATCCTATCACACCATTAAGTGAAGGTGTGCCAAAGAAGTCATTTACACAAAATTATGTAACCAAAAGCATTGAGAGGTCACTTTTAAGTTGCGAAATAAATCCTTTCTCTGAATTTTACAGATACCTGTAGAAGTATAAACAACATTAAAAATTATAAGTAATGCTTAAAATTATTAAATTAAACAAATTTGGGGTTCTCTTGGGTTTTTTGCTTTCTGTGTTTTAAATCTAGATTTCATACCTCTTTCATCACAACCATGGTAACTAGAAATATCCTGTTTATTTTCAAATTCATCACGGGGGCACAGAAGGGAATTGGTGAGTATTTATTCACCAAGGCGCCCCCGAGGGTTACAAGAAATAATGGCCACAAGCTAGCAGAGAGCAGATTTTGATTGGACATTAGGAAGAACTTCTTCACAGTTCGAGTGGCCAGGGTCTGGAACGGGCTCCCAAGAGAGTGGTGCTCTCCCCAACCCTGGGGGTCTTCAAGAGGAGGTTAGATGAGTATCTAGCTGGGGACTCTTTCCTGCTTATGCAGGGGGTCGGACTCGATGATCTATTGAGGTCCCTTCCGACCCTAACATCTATGAATTTATGAAAGGCTCAGGTACTCACATAATCATATGACTCTTAAGAGCTCAGACTTGAAATTCCCAAATATCACGAGTCTTTTACTTTTGTCTTGATAGTCAACAACATTGCTTCAGACTCAAGCCTCAATCATTCAGATATAACCAGACATGATGAACGTATACCTATGTGAAGACTTAGTTGGTATAGGGCCACTTATTGTACCTTGGAGGGTAAGGGTCTTTCTCTGTTATGTAAACCTTTTATTTAACTTAAAATCCCTCGTTACTATTTCCAGTGCAGGTATTTAGTCCAATTTATCCAAATCACTTCTGAAAAATTTTTATAGTCTTTCAAAGTAAATTTTACATTTTTCTCTAATGGATTATTTGTAACAGTTTAACAGTTCCTGAATTCTCCATGGAACAGGAAGCTGTATTGTGTAAACTTGTGCTGGAGTAAATATAGATAGCCGTATGAAAGGAGTAAAATTGGGGCCATCTTGCCCAGGGATGCTCCCTCCCATTTATGAATGAACAATCTGTTAAAGGATTGGTCTCTAAATATGCAGCATTACCTTCTGAAACTGTTCTGCATTGATAA